TTTTAGTTAAATATAATTTTTAATATTTAATAACGATAGCGAAAAATATCTTACTTGTGTTCTGAGTCCTTTAATTGATTATTTTATAATTTATTTAATCGAGTGAATTATTTTTTATTTAAAAACAGCAATTTTATGACGTTGCAGAGGAAGAGGATGTCGCGGATGCAGAGAAATTACGTAACAGAGGATGGAGTATACAGAAACTTGCGTCGTTGGGTCCGCTTCTGGGCAATAAACGTCACGCGAGGTCAATGACCACCGGGTGCGGTCCGTCGCCGGCCTCCTCCGCCGCCGTTGGTCCTCGCCGCCGCCTCTGGGCGTAGTCTCCACCGTGCGCTATACTTACCATTTTATACTTACCATTTCTTATGCGTCGCCATCTTCTTCTTATGTAATCTTCCCTTCAGTGTTTATTCCATGCAGAAATATTTTTTATTCCATTGAATTATATTATTATTATTGTTAGAATAAAAAAACTTGCAATCGATTCCAACCAATTAATGACTTTAATGAAGTTCTACGGAAACAAAATAGATGCGTGCACGAGTGAAGTTTACAGTAGCGTACTTAGGCTTAATTTAGTTCGGGGCGCGCTCGCCGCACGAGTCGGTAATGTTGGTAATGTTGGTAATTGAACCCGCAACATGTGCGCTATCGGAGTCGCCTACGCTATTCTCCTTGGACTCCAACATTCCGCCTATCAAATTAGACAATCTAATTTCCTCCTAGAAGGAGTAGGCAGTTTACATAACTTGGCGATCGCTCGCTTGAAAATACCGTTTGTAGTGCGCACTGAGATCCATCTTGACTGGTATGAATCTCGACTACCTTACCTAATTTCCACTTCAGGGGTGGAAAATTTTCGCGAAGTATCACTAGATCTTCGATTTGAGATCAGTTTGCGCTCTCCTCCATTTTCGACCCTGAAGACATATTCGGCCATGCACCATCTCCAGAAGTTCTGAAGTAGTTTTTGTGTGAGCTGTCAGCGATCAAGGCAGTGCAGTCGCAAGTCAGTCAACTCATACTCTGGAATGCTCACCATCGAGTCTCCGATTAAAAAATAAGCTGGGGGTAAGTGGCTCTAGATCCGTTGAATCAGAAGACAATGATGACAACGGTCTTGAGTTGAGACAAACCTCTATTTATGCGAGAACAGTTGAGAACTTCTCAAAGGTTAAGAGTGCATTTCCCATAACGTTTCAGATGATGTTTGCAAGTCTTCACGCTAGCCTCCCATAGTCCTTCTATATGCGAAGAATGCGGAGATATGAATCGCCACTCAATTCCTTCGTTGACGAGTGCATCTCCGGCACTCCGTTCGGTTTGGTTCCTCGCGAACTAGTACATCTCCCTCAATTCTCGATCCGTTCCGACGAAATTTGTCGCGTTGTCGCTAAAAATAGTATGTGGACGTCTTCTTCTGCTGATGAAGCATCTGAGAATTGATAGGAATGCTGCGGCTGTAAGCTCACTCAAGGCCTTTAAGTGAATGGCCTTGATGGCGAAGTAAACGAAGAGAGTCCCATAGGACTTGTTGATCCGGCGACCTCAACTCTTGTTTACTAGAGTTGTAATCGGGCCGGCAAAGTCGATGCCGGTCCGAAAGCTCGGCTAGAACGTAACTTGTCGCGCGGGAGAGATCCCATTACTTGCGACAGCTCTCGCGGCCTGGCTCTGGCGCAGCGGACGCATTTGCGACAGACGCGTCTCGCCAAGTCTCGATCTTTAACAGACTAATATCGTTCCCTGATAGAGATCAATAATTGTAGTTGGCCTCCATGTAGCAATCGTTGATGTTTTCTTTCAATCAATAGTCTTGAAAATCTTGAGTTGTTCGGCAAGATGACAGAGTGCTTTCTCTCGAATGCCTATGATGAACAATCGTCTACCCAACCTGAGCACGTGTTGATCGTCCAGGAATGGACGCAGCTGCGATATATCGCTGGACCTGATTCGCTGTTCTTCTTGATAGCGGCAATTTCTTTAGCGAACATTGCATGTAACAAACTAGCTGGATGTGTGCGATCCTTATTTCGGTCGCAAACACGATGAAATTCTCTTACTCGGAATTCTTCCGTAGATTATTAATGTAGTGCAGGCAATACGCCATTACGGGTTCCAAGCGTGTTAATGTCGAAAATTTGTTTATTAATCCTTGGATTATGTGGTGCCTGTTGCTGACGAGAGTACAGATTTGTGTACTTCTCTTCTCTTCTATCCGGACTTGTTCAACAACTTTGTCCGATAATTTGTTGTCTTGTTCTTCTGAACTGGACTTCGACCGTAACCACTGTGAACCCTTCCACCAGCTCTCAGAATCCTTAAGCTGTTGCAAAGTTGCTCGTAATATTATGTCAGCAGGATTATCTACTCCCTTTACGTACCGCCAATGATTAGCCGGTAATACTCGTTTATTTCCATCACGCGATTGGCTACAAAGAGTTTTCATCGCGAAATGTGTGTGCCTGAATCCAATGTAATGCTACCCTCGAGCGTTGACCATGCCAGTACGTTGTTGATGGATATTCTCAGGGTGTGTTGAACGTTGATGATCAAGTGCGCAAGCAGGACCGCACAATACAACTTCAATCGTGGTATAGAAATAGGCTTGATCGGTGCCACTCGTGATTTGAAGCACAACAGATTTGCTGACAAGCGGCTTTGGCTACCAATAGTCTGGACGTATAGATACGCCCCGTACGCGCTTTCGGAAGCAAAATCCGTGTAGATATATCCTTGATAGCGTCTCGTTGGGAGCTACTTCTCGGAATTGTTTTTGCCTCGTTTAAATCCTTGCGAAAATTCGCTCATTTTGTTGCGAGCGAGGAAAGTAATGGCTCGTCTCAATTACTCTCTGTGAGCCAGGTCTGTCGCATGATCAACTTGGCTGTAATCAGTATCAGGCCTATCAGGCCAAGAAGATAAAAAATCTTACTTATTACTGAAAGAATGCCACGCTTGGTGGTAGCCATCTCCACTTCTAGTACTGAAAATTGGAATTGGGTTCGAGGCCCAGCGTTTTGATGGTGTCCTTAATATCGATACGAAGACTAACATCATTTATGCGCCATAAATCCTTCGCGTTGTAATATTTCGAGCTGCTCTTTCAATATCACACCGCATATGTTTGTTCAAGCAATACCTACGACGCTATGGGGAAATTCGGATGAGCTTCCTCAGCCAATTTCATTATACATTTAATCGCCAAATAAGCTGAACTCGTTTGGCCGTATATGACCATATTTAGACGGAATTCCTTAACTGGCTCATCTAGTGAGAATCTCCAGAGTATCCGTTGGTAGTCTCTGTCAGCTGGATGCACGAGCACCTGTCTATACATTTGCCTAATATCTCCCGTCAATGCAACGCTATAAAATCTAAAATGAATTACAATTTCAAATAAGTTATTCTGCTTTATATTGGTGTATAACTTTGCTTATACCTTTTTCGTATAGATGGCTTTAGCGGTAAGTGGTGATCGAAATAAATAGATCACAGATGTCACACAATAAACTTGGGCATCTGTCAACATAACCCCATAGAAACATTAGTCGATTTGTGTCTGCATCATAAAGTTATTCTCGATTGAAAATGTCAGTTTACGAGCCAAATTCTTGTCATTTGCGGGAGGTTTTAATTTTTTGCTTCAATATGAAGCTCATCGCTGAGGATCATCGAATGCTCTCAAATATTTATGGTGAAGCCACTATTAGTGAAAGAACGTGTCGTAAGTGGTTTCAACATTTCAAGAACGGTGATTTTCACGTCGAAGATCAGCATAGCGATAGAAGAGAGAAGGTTTTCAAAGATGCAGAATTGAAGGCATTACTTGATCAAGATTAAAAAGAATTGGCACAATTATTAGAAGTGACTCAACCAGCCATTTCAAAGCCATGGGAATGATTCAGAAGCAAGGAAATTAAGTACCGTACGAGTTGAAGCCGAGAAATGTTGAACGGCATTTGTTTGCTTGTGAACAGCTGCTTGAAAAGCAAAGACGGAAGGGATTTCTGCATCGCATTGTGACTGGGGAAAAATGGGTTCATTACAATAACCCCAAGCGCAGAAAATCATCATGGGGAGTTCCTGACCATGCTTCCACGTCGATGGTCAAACCAAATATTCACGGCTCCAAGGTCATGCTCTGTATTTGGTGAGACAAGCTCGGCGTAGTGCATTATGAGAGAGACACGATAAAGTGATTTTGCAGCATGACAATGCTCGACCCCATGTTGCGAAAGTGGTCAAGACATACTTGGAAACGTTGAAATGGGAAGTCCTACCCCACCCGCCGTATTCTCCAGACATTGCTCCCTCTGACTATCACTTGTTTCGATCAATGGCACACGACCTGGCTGACCAGCACTTCTTATGAAGAAGTAAAAAATTGGATCGATTCGTGGATCGCCTCAAAAGATGACCAGTTTTTTCGACGCGGGATTCGTATGCTGCCCGAAAGATGGAAAAAAGTAGTGGCCAGCGATGGACAATACTTTGAATCATAAATGTATAACCAGTTTTTTACAATAAAGCCTCGAATTTCGGAAAAAAACCGTATGAGCAAAGTCATACTCCTTATATTACTCAAACAGCACAGAATATTTATGATAAATATTTATTCATATTCATTTTTGAAATGTTATATAATATTTCATACATATTTTATATAAAGCTTTATTCGAAATATTATTATAATAAAATATAGACTAAATATTTTATGTGATATTTATGATAAATATAAATAAATATTTCTAATAAGTATTTTTTACTTAAATTATAATGTCTCATTAAGTATCTTCACAGCATTTATTATAACATTTACAATAAATATTTCATAATATTTAAAATAAATGTTTATGATCTGTGCAACCTAAGACCACAAAAATATTCACAAAATATTTAAAATAAATCTTATAAATATTTATAAATATTTTGTAAATATTTTATAAATATTGTGTGCTGTCTGGGTAAGTTTCTTAATTTTTTACCTTACAAGCATTAGCAGCAACTGACTCATTCTCTTTATCCTTTTCTTCAACTGCATTTCATCAGCGTCTTTCCTCGTTTTTTTCCTGTATTAATAATTCATAATCAATATTTTATATAAATAATATTATTGGTATATACAATTGATTTTCAAATATTACTTTTGTAAGTCTTTTTTTATTTGGTTTTTTGACTTAATAAGGTCAGTATTTTCTTTCAAAATAGGCTGCTCTTTTTCATTGGCTTCATCGCTTATTTACGAGTTGGTCGTGAGACAAATATCAACACGACAAATTTGCTTCTCACTTGGTTTTGTCCCTATTCGTGATGTCTTCGTTGCATTTATTGTATCAGCAGCATCTTTTTTTTTCTTTTTTCTTGTATTCATAGTTTATATTAATTTTTTTATGTAATTAATAAAATAGATATACATAACTTTTAATTTAAAAGAAATATTATCTTTGTAAGCCTTTCTTACTGTTTCAACTTTAGTGATTCGATTTTCCTGTTAACTAGATCATGTGAAACGGATTTTCTTTCAATGGTTTCATCCTTTGAAACAGGTTTTTTTCCATTGATTTTATCCTCACTTATTTCCGAGGCCGTAAGGCAATTGTCAATAGGAGGAACATTCGTTCTCTTCGCAATTATTTCGTCCTTTGTTTCTTGTTTAGTTTCTAAAAAACAGACAAATGATACAATTGTAAGATATCTTAATGTTAAATTAATTATATACTTTTAAAAATGTTATAAAGTGCTTGTAAGTTTCACAATAAAACTATTTTTCCAAAATAAACAAATAAAAAATAATTTAATTACCATAATGTAAAAATTATAATATTAAAAACGTTTTTATAATAACATTTGCATAGCTTTTTTATGGATTTATGAAGTAGAAGAAAAAATTGTATAAAATATTTTTTTTTGTATTGTATGTGATTATTAAGAATAAAACTATATATAAAACTATAATTAATTTATTATTATTAGTTTAGATATATAATATCTAAGCCCTTTTCATGACATAAGCATGACATTCATATGTTAGGAGTGATCAATAGTTAATTTTTTCATTATGTTGTATTCATCTTCATTTTGAGAATGATATATGATTGTAATGTGACGTCAATATGATGACAGATCCATATAATAAGTAAAAATATTTTATTATTAGGTATACAACTTTACTTCTGCCGTTCTTTTTCCGAAATTCGAGGTTTTATTGTAAAAAACTTATACATTTATGATTCAAGTATTGTCCATCGCTGGCCACTACTTTCTTCCATCTTTCGGGCAATGTACGAATCCCGCGTCGAAAAAACTGATCATCTTTTGAGACAAACCACAAATCGATTCAATTTTTTACTTCTTTAGACCGGAAGTGTTGGTCAGCCAGACCGTGTGTCATTGATCGC